CTAGCTGGACTAAAGGTCGGACTCAGTATAGGAAAGCTTCCTATATTCCTGGCAGTAGACTATATTTAGTTGCTTCCAGTCTCTGCCAGACCATGACAGAGGAACAGGCAGGAGGGAAGAAGGATGCTGACAAGCTTGGCATGTGTTCACACAAAAAAGCATAGCTTAATTGTTTCAGCACTTAGGCAGCACCAATTTATTAACAGTAAAAGTGCCAATATTTAACCTTCTGCACCTGGGCTACATCTTATCAGCACGTCAGCGAACCATTCTGGAGTCTGTGTAATGTTAGTCAATTCGGTCTTTTAGCAGATGCCTTTTTTAATTCAGTCCTGTTTACTTTGTGATTTAGTGTCCAGTGATTCCATCTGGGATTCAGTTGGGGATAGAACTGTGATAAAATTTTCAGTGTACCTGATTATGCAATAATTTCAGCCACTGAATAACCTGGTCATCTTAATCTACCAATGTTTAATGATCTTCCACAGAGCCAGAGCTTGCTTCTTTCACACATTTTAAATAATTCTGTCACGAAGCCTGTAGGGGCTTCTGCTACTACCCTACTCCAATTCCCTGGCTGGTGGATTTTGTATATAAGGGAATGAACAACCCTTAAGTTCTTATCCCTGGAACTGGGTGCCTGGCAGCAGGCCCTCTTGAGGCACCACTGGAAGATGGACTCGGCCTGTCCTCTCCTGATTTCTCATTTGCCCAAATGGTTGCACGGAGCTGCCTACTCCCAGGCTATATTATAGTAATGTCAGTCATTGGAGACACTGCATGAATGGCACAGAAGACAGTGAGACTGTAATACTCATACTCAGCTGCACTGCTGTGCCATTTTTTAATGTGATACCCATCGGATGCAAGCTTCTAATAAGCATAACTCCTTTTGTTCTACCAAATAATTAAGACAGAGCTAATCCCTCTTATCTGATTGAAATTGAAGCAGTAAAATGGTGATTACTCAGTGCCTTATTACTGACTTGCATTTAAATTGCTTTGATTAGCATACTTTGATCAGAGAATAGAGACTTGGGATTTTGAATGTATTTTAAAATCTGACTGACTTGAGACTTTAGATAATACTTCAATGTGCTACTGGTGTTCTCATAGTGGGTGATATGCACACACACAAAAGGAATAGCACACAAAGTTGTTATGATGAGCCTTTTTGGAAGGCGACATGGAAAGCAAAGACCATAGCAAGTTAATTACCCTGTACAGATCCTGTTACATTAATTGGAAAAATATTTGCATGACCAGAAAATTGTCATCATAAGAGAAGATCACAGTGAACATCCAGCAGCATTAAATAAGCAAGCTATTTGACATCAGAATTACTAAAAAAAAAGTGATGTATAAAAAATAAAAGTGTTAAACAGCACATCCAGAACAATCATATGCAAGTTTGTTCATGGTAGAGAAGCCACCACTTTCTAAGTCCTGCTGGGCCTGACTGTCGAGGACAAAAGTATTTTTTGGAGTATTTTTTGCCATTCTTGGGAGTGGTTCAGGGCTTTTGATGTAGTGAATCCAAGGTGTCATCCATGTGACCCCAACATTCTCACATTACCTCTACTTCAGGCGTAGTAGATTTCCACCACCATTCAGAAAGGACTGCCACATCCAACACCTCTCATCTGTAGTCTCCCACTTGCTTTCTTAGAAAAGTAAGTAAAAAGTTTAACTACTGACCAAGTCTCCAAGATAGTCAAGTTTGTTTTTTAACATTTAAATTCACTGGTGACACCAAACCAGTATCAAAATTAGACCGAGTACACAACTTCCTAATATGTGCATAGATCAGGTCATCATTATATTACATTTCTAATTTTGTTTTATTAAGAATATGGTTTTGAAGTAATTCTTCAAAAGATGTGATTTACCAGAAAAGATAGAACTGTTGTGCACAAGCAGTGTATTTCCAAATGGTGAACAAGAATTCCAAATGAGCTTTATTTATTTAAAATATTTATAATCCATGATATAAATAAAGTTCATGGTAGTTTGCAAAAATAACAAACTAAAGTAAAAACAGGAACACACTGAAAGGAGCAAATAATGATACAAGTAAGCAATAAAAGATATTAACAGTAACTGGAGTAAAAGCTTCATAAAACGTAATAAAAAGCCAGAATAAAGCCCCAAAAGGACTGCATATAATTATGATAGACAAGCAATAAAAGCCATTTCATTTTGACAAAAGGCCCTCCACAGATATGTGGGCAAGTTCATATGGAAGGCTGTCCATCAGATACATGGTGCTGAATAGCACAGGGCTGTAGAAAGCATAATCAGCCTTGTGAATTGTGTCTGAAAACAAATGGGAACCGGTGCAGCTTTTCTCAGCAATGGTGTGCTCTGCTTTTCTTCAATTATCAACTTGTCAGCTGCATTTTGAATACCTTTCACAGGAAACTTCACGTAGGTCCCAGTCAACCATACCAGTGGTAGATCATGGTTTAAACATCCCACAGTTACCATAACAGGTAATTGCAGTATATATCCATAGGATCAGTTCACTGAATGAGATAAGGCAGCTGCTGTTTCCCTAATTATCTACCTGACTGGGGCTTGTCATGTCCAAACCTGGGCAGCATGGCTTCTTTGTGGGTAAATAACTTCCATATAACTCTACAACCAGCTATAGTAGCTTATTTGCTGGGGTGAACTGAGTCATAGTGTCTGAATCAAAATCAAATATCACATGGGAGTAGAATATACAAAATTAATTTGAAGACCCTTCAGTAGAATGTACATCACACATTCATAAGGACTGTGATCTCTTAATCCTGTTTATATATAGTATCTACATTTCTTAAGACTTTAAAATGTATTTTTAGGCTCTTTCTAAGGAAGTGATTTAAATAATTTGGGAAAGCCTATTCCCTCACAGTTTTTACATGAATACATACTTGGTATAGAATGATTTCTTCACTAAAAATGTTATTCACTACAGAATGAAATAAACTATTTATTCTTATTCGGTACACTTTACCGAAAGCTACTTTTTATTTTCATGTGAAATGGTCAACCATTTGAAGCTCATGAATCTCTTTCAGGTTTGTCCAGCGTTCAGTAGAATATTTTTAATTTATAAATGCACAGACAACCTATCACTCTTTTAAGAATTTTCAGTTAATGGGGTGGGGATGAACATAGAAACTCAGATCCTGTTCATGGTTTTAAAGATAAAATTTTCTTCAAAGTAAATGCACAGTAGCTACTTCAATATTCCCTCTTGTGCCATGCAAGATGTATTTTTTGACATGCAAATTGTACTCACCTGGTGGAAAGAAATGGTAGTAGCCCAGTTTTTAAAATGACCCCATGTGTGACTTTAAGGCTTACCACCAGCCTGGAATTATGCACACCATTTAACCTTGTCATCATCATGGCATGATTTCATTCAATACATATGACATAATTATTGGGCCCTAAAAGGGGCTTGGGGAAGCTGCTATCCCCTAATGTCCCAGCGGTTGCTCATGGTCTGCCAGTTTTAAAGATGCTACAACTTTGGTAAACTGCCCAGAGAGTCAAAGCTTTTATCCTTTGCAAAGTAGATTTTTTGACATGGGCTCATGAACAATGGCAAGACGGAGGCAGATAGTTCAGGCATATGTCGATCTCAGATCAAGAGATTGGTGTTTCTCCTGTTTTGAAAGTTGGTGCTGCTTTTGATAGAAGAGCAGAGCAGTTTGTGGATCCCTGCTTTATTACGTCAGTAACATTCAGCTGATTTGTCTAGCTTCAGTTAGTTCTTCAGCTTCAACCATTTCCAGCCACAATGTTCCATCTTCAGTAACTCTGCAATGTGGTGTGTGTGGGGCTGCCCTTGAAGACAACTCAGAGAAGAACCCTGGTGGATCCCTCCTGGGTCTTGGGCCATGTGAGGTCCAGTGGTCACCAACATTGTCATCTTTTTGGTGCCAGGTTAAGAGCTTCTTCTACCCCAAAATATTTGATGGCATATGATGGCTCTTTGGTGTGTGTTTTTAATCCTGATATTCTATTGTTAATTGCTTTTAAGTTGTTCATATTTTTGAATGCTAAAGATTTTAAATTGTGTTGTGAACCTCCCAGAGAGCTTTGGCTTTGAGGTAGTTTGAATATGTGACAAGAATGGAACGACATCTTTGGCAATGGTGACCTGCTTAATGACTGTACTCCCTAAAATTGACTACCCTGGTGTTCACATTGCTATCTCTTCAGTGCCATGCTGAAATGTTTTGGTTCCCCCAGGCAGTTTTTTATTTATATATATATATATATATATATATATATATATATATATATATATCTCCATCCATCCTACCTTTTTCCTACAAAGGGCTCAAGGCAGCTTACATCATTCTCCTCCATCTTATCCCCACAACAACAACAACCCTGTGAGGTAGGTTGGGCTGAGAGTTTGTGACTGGCCCAAAGTCACCCAGTTGGCTCCATGGCTGAGTGGGGACTAGAATCCAGATCGTCTGAGTCCCAGTTCCATGCTCTTAACCACTACACCACACTGGCTCTTACTTATGTATCTTATGCATATAACTTATGTATCTTTTAATTATTGATGGCTTCATCTGTTTTTATTAGTATGTTATGATAATTGATTTTACAATACCCTAAAGTTCTATGTAGCATAAAGGATAATATAAAATTGTTTGAACTAAGTAAATGAAATAACCGTGCTGTCCAGGATTCTGTTTCATTTTGCATTTTTCTAAAATTCAATCATTCACTTCAATTGCAGTCCTGTATTCATTTTCTAGTGCCAAATTTTCTCTGTGAGCTCATCTTACATAGGACTGTGCAATTAGACACCTATTCTCCCCCCCCCACACACACACAGAGCTTATATTTCTATATGTTGAGATACATTTGTCAAGATGTGATGAATCAGTAAACTGTCAGTTCTGTAAACAAGGCTTTTGAAGTGTGTACAGTTAAAGAACTCATCTGAATGCTTATACACAATCTCCTTTATGTTATGTGTACAGTGACAAACAAGAAACCTGCACAAGCATCTATTACAAAAGTCAAACAGTTTGAAGGTTCCACATCTTTTGTACGAAGGTCACAGTGGATGCTAGAACAGCTTCGCCAGGTTAATGGAATAGACCCTCATCGGGTGAGTAGATGGTCCCTCAGTTGCTTCTCATTTAGTATTCTATTTCTTTCCTGTAATGCTTATTGTTGATCATTTTTCCTTGTTCCTTCTTTAATTCTATTTTGCAAAAGAAAATTGATTTGGTGACTTTTATTTATTTTTTAAGCCCACAATGGTTTTAAATGATGACTTCAGCTCTACATTTAGGATCTAAAGATCCTGAATACCCACTCAAAGCTTTAGCAAGTTCTTTCATATATACTTTGTATGTTGTACCCTATTTCTATCTTTTCACCTTTGCCATAGTAAAATGAAAACAATTCTGTCACCTCAATCTATATTTTTAAATGTCGCTTGTAGGTTTTCATGTTCTTTTCTTCCTTATTGAATGCTTATTGTGATAATATGTGCTACTTCTTTGTCCCAGTGTTACATGGAATGAATCAATTTCTCTAGGCAAGAAAAGATTTCTTTTGCATAAATATTTATCTTACATTAAGCAACTCAGAAACAGCTGAATGACTAAAAAATAAATAACAAAAATTTAGTCCTTGATTTTGGCAAGATATGCACTGTTACTTAGCATCGTTCCTTCTGCCCTTTTTCTTCGTAGATCGGAGATGAATATAGTGCAGATGTTTGCAAACAGAGCAGTGGTGGAGAATGTGTGCCCTTCCAGATATTGTTGGACTGCAGCACCCATTAACTCTAAGCTAGAATGGCAGTAGTAAGGCAAGATGGATATTGTAGGCCACCCACATGTGGAGGATTCTACATTTAGCATCATTGAGATAGGTGGCCTCATACTGCAAGCATAATTTTACATCATGTACCACCCACCTGCACCACTTACATGTCTGACCCAGTGTGTCAAGACCTATATGCCACCTCCTTCAAGATGAACTCATGCTGATGATATCCTAGAACCATGGTTACCAGTCCTGGGTCTCCAGATATTGCCAGACTACAAATCTCATCATCCCCAGTGGTCATGACTGGTATTTGTGGATGATGGAAGTGGAAGACAAAATATATTTGGGAAACACTATCCTAGTGGATCTTGTCAAATGTGGCAGCTGAAAGTGCATGCAGTCATGATGTTAGGACAGTTTCAGATCCAGATAGATTCAGTGTGTGTGCCCCACCCACCTGCATGTATTGGACGGAATGGGAGTCGTTCTGGTTAGATGGGATCTCCTACATCACATCTTCTGTTGGATTTTCTTTAGTCATCTTCTTGAATTGAACAGTAGTTAAATAGTAGTTTTTGTAAGCCGCCCCGAGGCTTTTTGCGAATGGGGCGGCATAGAAATGTTTTAAATAAGTAAGTAAATAAATAAATAAATAATATTCTACAGTGCAATTATGAGTTGAAAGAAATTTCCAAAATTTTAAAGAATTTGTAAATAATCCATTTAGACAATTTTAATTGTTTTGTTAATTAAAACATTTATATCCCGTCCTTTCCAATGAATGGCTCAGGAAGGCTTACAGAGATTAAATATCATGTACAATACAGTAATACAATAATTAAAACAATAAATAATAAACCAACATAACAACCACTTTCAAACAAAAGAAAGAAGAAATAATAAAGAATGCAGCTATGGAAATGTTAAAAACATCTAAAAAGCCTTAATTATTAAAATGATGGTTGAATAAAAAGGTCTTGACCTGGTGCCAAAATGAGTATAAAGTCGACGCCAGGCAAACCTCTCTGGGGAGCACATTCCATAGTCTAGGCACCACCGCGGAGACGGCCCTCCTCCAGGTAGACACCCTCTGGACCTCCTTCAAGGAGGGTTCCCAAAGAAAGGCCTTTCCAGCCAATCTTAAGGGGCATGTAGGGGAGGAGACATTCCTTCAGGTATTCTGGTCCCAAGACTTTTAGGGCTTTGTAGGTTAATACCAGCACCTTGAATTGGACCCAGACTTCATTTGGGAGACAGTGTAGCTGATAGAGGACCGGCATTAAATGAGAATAATGGCCGGCCCCCATCAGCAGCCTGGCAGCTCTATTTTGTACCAATTGAAGTATCCAGACCATTTTCAAGGGCAGCTCCACATAGAGCGCATTACAATAATCCAACCAGGAAGTTACCAGAGCATGTGTCACCGTTGCTAGTGCTCATCCAGGTAAGGATGCAGCTGTTGGATTAGCTGAAAGTGAAGGAAAGCGTTCCTCACCGGCACTGTCACCTGGCCTCCAATGTTTTGGAATTTTATTTCTCAAAATCTACCTTGGCAAGGGCAGCCTTATTAGATTAAACTATTAATCTAGTAATTCTTATATTATTCTTTTTAGGATTCTCCAGAATTTGATTTACTGTTTGAAAATTCTTTTGACCAATGGGTAGCAAGCACTGCATCTGAAAAATGTACATTCTTTCAAATTCTCCATCATTCCTGTCAACGGTACCTTACTGACAAAAAGCCAGAATTTGTCAATTGCCAGTCTAAAATTATTGGAGGTAAGTGTATATGTTTTCATATGAATGACTGGACCCACCTTAGGTTGTTTCATCTAATACATTTTATCTGAAAACATTGGAGTTGCTGTTCCAGTTCATTCACATTTTGATTCATATTATGTCATATTAGCTTACTTAAAACCAACCAAATATAACTATATATATGTGTGTGTGTGTGTATGTATGTATGTATGTATGTATGTTACATGGCTGGTCTTGAACCCAGACTTCCCTATATTCTAACTGCAACCATTGCTTTAAAAAAGCTGTAACATCTCAGAAGACATATTTCCTATCTAAATAATTTTTTTCATGGCTTTAATCTGTTGTGCTTTAGTGGATGAGGATATTGCCTCCAGTATGTGTCTCACTTCTTCCAGATATTGATTTAGACGCCTTCAAATTTAATTCCTTTCCCAGTGATTTTTTTCTTTCCCATTTAGCAAACATTGATTTTGCCACTATTTCTGAAAGAGCTAAATTAGAATGGCTGTTGTTGAACAATTGCAGCTTCCCTTTATGCACGGCTTTATTAGGCCAAAACATCACCATTTATTTACCAGGATTATTAATGTCAGCAGCACATGTGAGTTGCTTCAAATAGCAGAAATCTTAGTGTTGCTTTTGCAGGGTCCTGATCACTGTTCCAGTTGTGCTCATTGTTGCTTCCATTTCTTATAGTTAGGTATGTTCACTCTTAACTCACAGAAACATAGAATAGAATAGCCAAGAAGGCCATTGAGTCCAACCTCCTGTCATTGCATGACACCAGTTCACACCATTCCATTCAGATGACTATCCAGTTTCTTTTTGAATGTCTCTAGTGTGGGAGATTCCATGACCTCTCTAGGCGACTGGTTGCACTGTTGAATTACTCTAACAGTTAGGAAACCATTCTGATACCTAGCTTGAGTCTGGTTTGTTTCGACTTGATTATTCCTTGAGTGTCCTACACTCTGGTATGTGCAAGCAGAGAGTTTGTCCTTCCTCTTTGTGACAGCCTTTTAGGTACTTGTCACAAACTATTATATTATCCCTCAGTCTTCTCAAGGCTGAATATACTCAGTTCTCTGTCTCTCCTCATAGTGCAGTGTTTCCAAACCCTGGATCATCTTTGTTGCCCTCCTCTGAACCCTTTCCAAGTTTTCTGCATCTTTCTTAAGTTTGAGTGCCCAGAACTTGGCACAGTAGCCTAGATGAGGTCTGACTAGTACTTCTCATGATCTGGAAGTGATGCTTCTATTAACGGATCCCAAAATAGCATTTGCTCTTTTGGAGCTGCATTGCATTGTTGGCTAATAACAGTGTTGTCCATAATAACTCCAAGATCTTTTTCTTTTGCAGCACTGTTGAGCTAAGCATTCCCCATCTTGTATTTGTAGGACTTGTCATTTGTCCCTATTGAATCTCATTCTGTTGTTTTCAGCCCAGAATTCAAGCTTATCTCGATCGCCCTGGATCTTCTTTCTGTCTTCGAGGTTGTTAGCTGTTCCACCCAGTTTTATATTGCCTTCAATTTGATTATTATTCCTTGTACTTCCTCATATCATTAATAAAGATGTTGAAGAGCACTGGGCCTAGGACTGTACCCTGTGGCACTCCACTAGTTACCTCTCTCGACTTGGAGAAGGTGCCATTGATGAGCACTCTCTTTGTCTGATTTAGTAACCAATTTTGGATCCGCCTAATGGTTGTTCTATCTAGCCCACTTTGCTAGTTTGTTTAACAGAAAGTTATGGGCATATGTTGGAAGCTTTGCTAAAGTCAAGATAGATTAATGTCCATAATGTTTGCACTGTCCATTTGGGAGGTTATCTAGTCAAAAAATTATATTAAATGAGTCTGACAGGATTTATTCTTGATAAATCCATATTGACTTTTATTAATCATTGCATTCTCTAATTGAATTGCCCACTGAAGTGTTTAGGCAAAATATTAGAGCTGGTTTTAAATATTCCACCTTGATGCTGTGCCCCAAATATGCTCCTTATTCACTGTCCCCTGGCCTCCAAAGAGAACAAGCCCTGCAGCACAATTGAAAATTGCATCAAAGTTCCTGTAATTTAGAGCTAGCTGAAGTTCAGAGATTTGCAACCTCTCTGCTGATACATCGCCAGGTACTATTTCCTCTAAATGTTGGACAGTACATAGCTGTTTATACTTGTGCTTTAGCAAATAAGCACCAACTAATGGTATATATTTTCATCTCTTAAAATGTATGAAACATTATTTACTGTATCAATGCCTTCTAAATAATGTGAAATCAGTCTCTGCAAAAAGGATTGGGAACATTGAAAAGGCTGATACTGTTATTAAGGCTGTGGGTTAACCCTATTGCTCACAGTCATTTTTGTGCATGGAGATGTGATTTTTTTGTTGTTTCATCTCTGTTTTGGATGTCTCCTTCATGTTTAGCCCTAGGATTTTGAGAACCAAATGGATAGAGAGTTCTCAGACTAGTTAATAGTGAAATATTATTAACCGCCTGGTGCCAACTCTCTACTAGGCACAAGGTAAAGACCTTTTTATTTACCCATCATTCTAATAATTAAATTAACAATTTCCTGAAAATTCTCTGTTGACATTTTTCATATTCTAACATATTATGTTGTACAAAATTTGGTATATTGATAAGAGTATTTATATGGTCTGAGGAAAGGTGGGGTAGAAGCAGTATTTTGCTATTATTCAATTATCCCACATTTATTTATTAAATATTGTTTCATTTATTAAATCTCTATGCCACCCAATAGGCAAAGCTCCCTGAGTAGCTTGCAACACTGAAACTCAAAAAAGCAATATAATAGAAATCTATTCACATATTATATATTTTTCTAAGTTTAGTTGGATAAGCACAAATATAAATGAATAATTACAAAATTTTTGACCTAAGAACTTGGTGTAAAGCAGAAGGAGGGCTTGTCATAGGGATCTGAATGAAGGGTATGTCAAAGCTAAAAGACATTATTTTGCTATATCTTCTTATACCTCCTTGAGATAGAGAATAAAATGTGTTGTGAAAAAACAGGACTAGCAGAATAGCCATTGTGCCCTCAGCAAAAGCTCTCCTTGCAGACACTGAAAGCAGACACAGTGAGGGCTGCATGGAGGAATGCTGGAATGCCTTCCTGTGCTGCTCAGGTCCAGGTTTCTCCCTCTGTAGGAGGCCCATACAGAGAACCTCTGGTGGAAATCTAGAGTTTGATAAAGAAAGCTGTGTGCTCTCCTGATAATAGCTTTCATTTCAGAAGGCAAGTTGGGGTTATTGTTTTTAGAAATGGCATCATGATATCAGAATCTTAGCATTTCTGCATTTCTCTGTATGTGTAGTCCTGCCAGCAATAATTAAACAAGTGCTAATTGACTCTGTCAAAACAGGAGCTGGAGGAAATTCAGAACTACCTTTTTTGTAATAATGTGAAAGGTCTTGGCTATTATGAGTTGCCTCCGGTGATATGGCTGGTCCATTATGCACTCATTCAAAACCAAAACCATTTAACTGTGTGCGTAAGCAACAATGAAAAAATAATATCTCACTGAGTTTAAGTCTGTTGTGTTTAGGGCTGTTATAATTAGCTATTTACAAGTATTAGTGTGAGGCTGGGAACGATTGACGGCAAAAGGAGAAGAAGGGGACGGCAGAGGATGAGGTGGCTAGATGGAGTCACTGGAGCAGTGAGTGTAGGCTTAGGTAGACTCCAAGGGATGCTGGAGGACAGGAGAGCCTGGAGGAATGTTGTCCATGGGGTTGTGATGGGTCGGGCACAACTTTGCAACTAAACAAAAAGTATTGGTACACAGTGTCCTGTAGTGAGCCTGGTGAAAAGGTCTGTAGGATAGCAATCAAAGTCTTAGAACCAAAGAGGCAAATCTCTGGTCCAACATGAAGCCCATGGAATGCCCTTGGGCCATTCAGGATCACCTTCTTCAGAGTGCTGGTCTGTAACTAAAATGGAATACAGGCTAGGTTTGTGGTGTTGATAATGATATAGAAATTAAATGGCATGCTTGTGTCTCTGCATTGTTGAGGAACATGATGCCACTCAAGTCAGTTTGATAAGCCAAAGCTATCCAGTGGGTAGAATTAAGGAAATTGGTCCATTGATTTACTCAGTAATTTTCTCAGAGCTACAGTTTGCCATCCAAAATTCATCACAAGGTCATGATGTAAAATAATTGACAGTGTGACATATTACAGAAATCCCTGTATACATTGACCATTAAACTGTGAATATTGTAAGTTCAGCAGATCCAACAAAGACATCTTTTTTTAATTGTTTTGTTGTTGTTGAATTATTATTTTCTTAAAATGTGTAAACCATCGTGAAAATGTTAATGAAAGATGGTGTAGAACAGGGGTGTCCAACCAGCGGGCCATGGGCCACATGCGGCCAAGGATGGCTATGAATGTGACCCAACATTGTAAAATTGTAAACTTAAATAAAACATGATAAGATTTTTTTTGTGATTTTGTTTGTAACTCAATTGCATGGTTCTCAAGTGTGAACTTAGATGACAGCGTTGTGTCGCAATGTCACATAAAATAAACCTACGTATGTTCTCGCTATTTGTACACATGCATGGCTTCAGTTTTACGGTGGTGTGCAGGTACCAGTGTGTTATCTTCCAAGTGCAGACAGTTGAATTGACACCATCAGATGTTAGATGTGCTCTTGGTGACTTGGCAAGTGAAACACAGCTATTATCAATAATATTTCAACCTTTTGTTGCAAACAGTTTTTTGCCTTTTGGCACATTGGATAAACACAGTCCTGTGAACAGTGAAAAATATGTACAAGAATTTGAAAACATTTCAAAATTTCTGGGAAAATAATCACTATTTTGGTATATTTGCATCTCCATTTTCAGTCACCCTGCCTATTTTCAAATAGAATGCATAGAGCTGCAATCTGATATTCAACTTAAAAAAATATATATCATGGACTTTTATAGGTCCTATCTTCCCAGAGACAAATATCTCTTGCTTCACAATCACTCCC